ATTATATATATATATAGTATATATATATATATATATATATATATATATATATGTATATATATATAACAGACAACTTTTGACACATACTCCTGCACTATGCTTACAGCATTATGCGTCAAGAGTTATAATGTCTGATATATATGTATATATATAATATATAGATATATATATGTATATATATCAGACAACTTTTGACACATTATGCTTCTGAAATAAATATAATAAAATATATATATATATATATATAGCTTAAAAAAGAATAAAAATACAACATATGGTTTCAACTACCTACTTTTAGGTGTCGCTAATAATGGAGATATCTCTGGTATGTCAGTGTTCCTCGTTAGCACCCTTCTTTGCGTTGCAAACTTCTTAGGAGGATTTGGGACATCAAACAGAGTTGGTATGGCAGTTAGTTTTAGCTTTTTCCACCCATCTTTTCTGCCTGTTTCAAACTGACACTCCTCAAAGTGCGCCTGAGACAACAACACATAACCCTTTTTAAATGATTGAATATAAACAATATCATTTCTCGCTGGGGCAATGTGGGTAGGTTCATTACATAAACGTTAAACACAATTTCTTTAACAGTTTTTGCATTTTGTAATTTTTACATCATCTTCACAGTCATACTCTGGAAAATACTGCACGAGGACATGCTCTATATTACCCACCAAATAATTGTCAATGTTGCCTATATACTTATAATAATGTATCGATACGAGTTTCAACACATATGGCTTACGTCGCAAAGCCTTGCATGTGTAGGAGGCACCCACGCACCCCCGTTCTTATTCCTTCGCCTCATGTTTATTGCCCATCTTTTTCTTCGTTCAGAATTTCTTGGAAAGGAGTGCAGACGGAATCCTTTCCGATAGCTGTTCACACAGTTTGGAGCACTACACCCTGTCATCCTATAACCTAGAAAGAGAAAAGGTCAAGACTAGTTTTGGATCATTGACCTAGTGGCGGTGCATTCAAAAGATCACGTTTTGGTCGTGATATCTTAAACAGCAGTAAAAACGTCTTTAGATATATATCAGGAGCTAATAATGACACTTGTCATTATTAGCTCCTGATATATATATATATATATATATATA